TCTCGTAGTCGAGTAGTCTCGACTAGAGCTTTCTTACTTGTTTACTTTGGAATGGCCAACTAATAAAATGATATTGAAATGGAATAATACAATAATGCTGATCCCAAAATAATCCGCTCTGGAGCGACTGTTTTTCCTCTCTTTACTCTTTCTGGCACTGTTACCCCTTTCTTTTAATTTACTTATGGTTTTCTGTACCTTTACTTCTTCCCATATTTTTGCCATTCTACTAATTTTGATTATATCAGTCTTCTTTCATAGTATTAACCTGTGTGATTTTACTTTTAGAAATGGAATTGATGTGATTAATTCGCATGCATCCAAGAACACTGTACGCACAACAGACAAACTTGTCTTCCTTGATACATATATATTTTTTAATTCGAATCGAAAGATTACGTCAGTGTTATACAGTAAAGTATAAATTTTATCCTGATTTTGCACGATCTCGTGGGGAACCACGCCTACATGAACAACAGCAACGGAATTTTCGAGTGGGTCAATCTGTCAACTGTAATCAATTCTGGCTATCGCCAGTATTTGCTCAGAAGTAACAGGATAGTATATTGTAAATATTTTATTAGAGCTCTATTATTATGAAGTTGGTTGTTTTTAGCTAGTAATAGTAATTGTAATTTTGTAAAATGTTATTATATAGTTATAAACGTTTCATAATTTAAATTAATAAATATATTAAATTGTTATATTAATTTGTAACTTAAAATCTGAAAACTTATCTTTTCAGAGAAAATGAATAAAACAATAAAGTCAAAGCTAAAATATTAATAATGAATGCAAATCATATTTAATATTTATTTAAAAAGATTGAAATCTGGAATTGAAGAGCTGAAATCTGAAATGAAAGAGGTGTGCACTCAGCACAGTTCGCGCATTTGTATGTATACGCCTTGCTCAGTTTCCTTTCTCATGTTTCCATCCGAATGGCCGGAAAAGCGCATGCGTCAGTTTAGCAGGATTTTCACAAAGTTCGACTGAAGTAGTGCTCGGAAAGTTATTTGCACAATTTTGAGAGTGAAAAAGGAATATAATATAATAAAGACGTTGAAGTCGAGAACTATGTACTTTTATAGCTAAACCAGCTGGCCAAATGCTCAACTTACGTGAAATCTTGTGCTCAAATACAAAGTTGCGATTCTGAAATGAGACCCAGAAAAAATATGATAGACTAGTAAAAATCACCTTAAGTATTAATAAAATCTCGAAAGTAATGTCGTGCTCGCATATAATCAAAGTGTTTTCCATCTAGATAAATAACTAAAAATATGCATATTATCATTAAGATCTCAAATCATAGTTTCGAATGAATATTTCGAGATGCTGTGCCAAATTTATGTGTGCGTATTTACCGGTATAATCATTGCTAAAAACTAATATAACTGACATAAAATCCCCTGGCAGTAATACATGTAGGCGTTATCAATCAAATAAAAGTTTTCTTACATACAAACATATATACACATGCATATATCTAAAATGCCAAGTAATAGCTACATATAGACATACCTATGCACATACCTATACACATACCTATACACATTCCTATACACATACCCATACTTATACACAAATACACATATATGTATGTGAATACATATCTATACTTGTGCAAATGAATATGAATAGAAGAAGATGTATGTATGCACAAATATACTCAATTATATATATGTACATATATACATACATACACTGTCTTTAGCGACCTTTCTACTTTTGAACTTTTATTAAGTAAGGTCAGGGCAGGTCATGCATTATAACAGTAATTATTGCTACAAATCAACAATGAAACTAAAGCAGACTGTCCAAATTGCTATCTTGATAGTCAGCAGCATCTATTATATTTACTTTTATCATATATGTATACATGTGTATATATGTATGTATAGATATAAATATATTTATATAAAACTATTGGACCCGACAGACAAAGTTTCTTCATTTACTTTATAAGATCCTCCAGTAATGAAGCCGACAACTTTATACATGGATATACATACACATATGTATATCCTGCAGCTGTGTTTGCTCAAAGTTTATTCCTAGTTATCCACATTCTCAAGAAGTTATGATGTTTAGTTGCTTATACGCTTCGTAACTTCAATTCTCTAACATACTTAATATTGTATAGAAGCTTATACATATGTATATATAATTTGGGCAAGTCTGGTTTTATACAATAAGTTTTTTTCTTGGCAATTTTCCAGAGTTATTATAATTTGTCTACCGCTTGAATACATCTGTAAGAGTATTAAATTTGATGGGGCTTCCTTTATTAATCGAATTGCGACCCAAGTAATGCAGAAGGCGGGGCACGGTGGAGCTTTTGCTCATGTTCCATTGCAGAAGTAATAAGAATACATTTTTGACAATTTACAATTTTTGACATTTACAAAAAAAGAAGGAAAATCGCTTTTTATTTTTTGTACGATTTTTGTCATGCAGCCCCACTGTACGGGGTTTACTTTTGCGCAATAAAAATAGCCGAGTCGATCGAGCACCCTCTGTCTATTTAGTTTTCTTTTCCTATAAACCTAAGCGTGGATCGTATAAAAAAACCAATTAACCACATAGATGAACGTATAAAATAGTTTTTTATTAAGAACAGTTTGGAATTGGATCGAGTTCATGTTCTCTCTATCCCCAGGACTAACAACATACTCTTTTCATCACTTAATAAACATATTTATTCATATATACATTATTCAGCGACCAATTATCTAAACTAATCTTTCTTCTTAACGGATTAATTAGTGAATGTGGCAAATAATTGAATAATATTCAAGTGATTAAATGAACTGCAACAAAAACATGAAAAAGTCTTTCCAGTTTCTATTTATCTTCTGTTTTATAAAATCAATTCTTGGAATGAAAGACGGTAAGTGTGTATTTTTTAATTGATAATGTAATAATTACTATTGATAAAAATTAGTGCATTTATTTATTCTAAATTTGTCATTTGACTAAAGTGTGGAAGGCTCACCTTTCTTAGTGTCATCCTTAGATTAACTGATGTTGATTTGCCTCTTGTAATTTATTTATAATACTGTGATTTAAATATATTATTTATATTTAATGCAAATTAAATGAGAAACGCTGCTAAATTTATAAACCTAATTCAAAGCACAAGCGAAAATTCGGGAACATATTTGTTTAATAAATAATTTGGATCAACTTAAGGCTAAAATTTAACAAACGTGAGTTTATTTGACCTTTGAGAGAAGGTCAAGCGTTTCGTAAAACAGCAATTCTCACGGCCAATCTTTGAAAGTTTTAACAAATGAATGAGTTGAAAAGATGCTTATAATCTTTAGAAGCAGCATTAGGAAACTCTATAGGCATATTTACATATACGTACATATCCATAAAACGCCGCCGAGCCCACATCCTATTTCGTACAACTGAACTGTGATAAGAATATTTACTTGATTGAGATTGCACATTATGCTTTGTACAACAAAATGAGTGAGTTAATGGTTTTGATTTTAAAGTCTTATTTGAATACTGTTAAAGCTTGAAATTTACAGTGTAAATTAATGCAATGAATACAAAATATTCTAATTACTAGATTTTAGGTAGCGAGTCCTGTAAGCCCCAAATTCGAATAAACCCTATTACAAATATTAGAAATTTATGCTTTGGCAAATACACAAGTTTGATGTTATTATCACGTTCTGAAATTTTGGTAATAATAATGATAGTAGAATAGGTGGATAGATGATCTTACAATGTAACACATACTACAGTCCAAGTGCTGTCGCAGTTAGCAGAGCTCGTGCTTATGCGCGTATTCATTATTCTTTGCAAGCTCTGGGTATCTCTTAGTTGAGCAGTCTTGACTAGAGCTTTCTTGCATATTCAAAATAATTTTATAGTACAATTTGAATGTGCCCTTAAGGCCAAATTCATAGCACATATCATTTATATTTTCATTGTTTATTTATTTTTTACCTCTACATATCTCTTTCAGCTTTCATTCAGACGATAGAGTCGTTAATTGGCGAAAATGTTTATCTCCCTTGTAATGTGTCAACTAACGAAGGGGATGAAGCTGTCTTAGTTCTGTGGTACCGAGATGACAAAGGTACCCCAATATACAGGTAAATATGTGCATCACAAAAGTTTATTAGCCCGCTATGATTTTATTATAAGGTGCTTAAATTTATATTTCTGTTTGAAATTTATTTAGATTTATTATTTAATGATAAAATATATTCAAAGCATATTTATATTAATTATGTATTCAACTTTCGATTACTTTGTTCATGTAGTGTGGATATGCGTGGCGGAATGTCTAAAGCCCCAAAGAGATGGTCCGATGAGACGGTGTTCGGAGAAAGAGCATTTTTCGCGTTTGAAAACGAGCCTGGAAAACTTTCAATTGAAAAAGTGAATGCCAATGACTCTGGAATCTATAGATGCCGAGTCGATTTCCTAAGAGCTCAGACTTATAATACCCGCATAATGCTGAATGTCATAAGTAAGTTGTTTTAGCCCGTTACAATGGAAAGCATTTTTGGGATCAGCAGATAAATGATTTTCATAGTAATAATAAATCTGGTATCTCAGAAATGATATTTTTCGATTTAGACTAGAAATCTCGATATCTAAAAACGCATGATGTAGGGGATATATGTAACAAGAACAATAGGGAACACGCATTACTGCTAAACTGCATGCGCACGACTTTATCATATTTTTGGTCTCTATTTTTTCATTATATAACATTTATCGATAGCAATCGATGATAGTACAATGATAATTTATCGACTTTAGGATCAATGTCCAATAAATATTCTTAAATTTCAATTCCAGCTCCACCTAAACAAGTTGTCATCCGAGATGGAGCTAATGTGGAGCGCTCAACAGTTGTTGGCCCGTACA